ATGTCTGAATATTGTGACCAATTACTGTTTTGTTGCAAAGGACATAGAACACCAAAGGTATTTTTTTTAAAGCATCTGATTAATTATAAAAATAATAATCTTAACAAAAACAACAGATTGTCCAGCAATGTTGTTGCATGTTCCCCTAAAATAATCTTAACAAAAACCAAGGTTGTAAACTTAATTTTATAACATGAAAGGAGGTTTCACATTTGCTTAAATCTCTTTTTACTAGAACTCCACATTAACATAGAGAGAAAAACACCAATCACAAAAAAGTAAGGAATCCATAAAAGGCTCCTCCCAACCAACTATTTCCTCTTTCTTTGCTGCTCTGCAGTCAGTACAAGTCAGAGTACCACTGCCTCCTGTTTTATATGGGTGGCTGTGGGGTATCATTTGTTTATTGTTCATTTATTATTTAATCACTGTATATTGGATTTTTATATTGCTATATTTAGGGGTTTTGTTCTGGTTATTGGTGTTATTTGGTTTGGTTCTCTGTTGTTTCTACTGCTTTGGGGCTTGGGGGGTCTGTCTGCCTCCCCTCTACCTCTCCTCTGCTCTTTCTTTCCCCCCTTTTCATCTCGCGGTCGCTGGGGAGCGCCCCTGTGCGCCGCCCCCGTTGCCCAACCACCGGGGCCGCGGAGAAAGTCTCCGGCAGTCCCACGTGTTCACTCCCGCCCGACGGCTCTGTTCTGCTGAGCGGGAGCTTGTCTGACCTCTCTCTCCCTCCCATGCTCCCAGCCGCGAGTGCCGGTTTCTCGGCTTCGGGCGGCATGTGGGAGGGGAGAGAACGGGCCAGCCACTTGGGAGTGACGGTCTGCTCATGGTCTTCTGGGGGCGTCCTGGGCTGTGCTGGGCAGAGGTCTGCCTGCTCCCAGCCCCTGTGCTGACAGTGCTAGGGGTACTGTTACCCCAGGTTTTTACTGTGTGCTGGGATAATAGTGCTAGGATACTGGAAGGAACCAATTTTATGTGTGAATAAATGTCCTTTTTCCTTTGCTTTTTTCTGCCTCCACTTATAAAAATAAAATCAACATGTTTTAAATGTATACCACCATTGCATGCACTGTTACTGGACTGGCCCCTACAGTCTGTACACGCTCTCTCCCGCATGCCCTACATCTGGATTGGCCACTATACCCTATATTCTGCATGGCGATCATATACACACACTGAATCGCCTGTTTTGCCTGTGCCCCTTTGATTGGCCTGCTTTGTCTATGCTCCACTGATTGGCCTGCTTTGTCTGTGCCTCTAACTCTGACATCTGGATTGGCCGCTATACCCTATATATCCTGCATGGCGATCATATACACACACTGAATCGCCTGCTTTGCCTGTGCCCCTCTGATTGGCCTGCTTTGTCTGTGCCACACTGATTGGCTTGCTCTGTCTGTGCCTCTAACGCTGATCGCACGGCCTACCGGCTACATACGCACGCCTGCGCCTGCATGCGCTGCCCAAATTGCCTCTGCCATTATACAGGGTGCTGCCCCCAATTGTCTGTTGGTGACACTTTTCTCTGTGATCCTAGGTGTCACATCGCCTACGATTCCCTGACTATGGAGCCTCAACTCAAGAGTAAAATTTACAGGCGATGATTAATGCGGCAGTGGCCGCATCTGTTGAAAAGGCCCTGGCTAGGGCCCTCCCTCAGACACAACCGGAGTGGGGTGCTGGAGGGAACACCCAGACGGCAGACGAGTCTGCGGAGTCAGACTCTCAGGAGCGAGAGCAGGCAAGGGCGCAAACGCGCTATTGGAAGGGTGAAGGCCCTGAACCACGCTCCCAGAAGGGTAAGGCCCCGGCGAAGTGTCAAAATTATCGACCTCTCCGGCCAGACACCGCCGTTTATCGGGCGCAGGGGAGGAGGTCTCCCTACCCCCCACCTATGGCTTTGCTGGATGAGTGGCGGGCAGACCAGTCCCCCTCAGAGGAGGAAGACGCTTGGGACGAGGGCCGTGGTGATGACCACAAGTGGCGCTGGGAGAATGAAGATGCGCCAGTGACAGGGGCCTCCACTGCTGTGATGGGGGATGACACCTTCCTGGATGCTACAGGTGAACCTCTGTTCGACCCTCGGTCCATCCGGCACCCCAGGTCCTCTGAATGGTCACTGCCTGACCACCTGGCAGTGACCTCTGAATGGTCACTGCCTGACTGGGTCCGAAGACCTCTTGAATGGGAGGTCTGCAAGAAACATCAGGTAGAATGCCCCAGACCCATCCTACCGGACAAGGTGGCCACGACACCGGAATCTGACCCCCTGGTGGCCACATACATGACCCGTCCGGGTCGGGACCCCAAGAAAGGGGTGGAGCGCAGCCTCTGTTCAGCACAGGATAAACAGCTGGATATGCTGGGCCCCCTATGCAGGATGTTGGCGCTGGCAGACGAGGCCTACTCTGAGGGTACGGCCCTAGACCTGGCCACCATGTGAGACTGGGCACTACGATCTATTTGCCTGCTGGGCAATACTAATGTGGCCCTCTCCACGGAGCGCAGGAAGGCAGTCCTGCTCCGAATGGACAATAAACTGTCAGAGCTGGGATCAAAAGAATTGGGCCCCCTGGCTAAGGGCCTGCTGTTCGGGGAGCCGTTCATCAAGGAGCTGTACAAACATGTCAACTTGTTCACCTCTCTGGACAAAGCCCAGTCCTCCATGAAGAGGGTATTCCGGCCACAGACATCGCATATTTTTGGAGGAGCTGGACGACAGCGGGGTTGTGTCTCCAGCCACAGCTGGTCTTCGGGCCGCCAAAGAACCCGTGGGCCATCCTTCTTTCCCTCATACCAGCCCAGACCCTCCTACACACAGAGGTCGGATACAGGTCGAGGGAATCATTCAAGAGGACGTGCAAGATGGCAGACTGTTTCACTGCAGGGACAGGTGGCGGGAGGTATCTTCTGATGCATGGGTCCTTCGGACCATTCGGGGATATGTCATAGACTTTCACTCCCCTCCGACACAGGTTGGGCCCCCAAGAGTTCCCATCATCTCAAGAGAACAACAGGACCTGATAGATGTGGAAATTTGGACACTGTTCGACAAGGGTGCGGTCCAATGGGCCCCAGACACAGGGGATTTCTTCAGCTCGATTTTTCTAGTGAGAAAAAAGTCAGGAGAATTCCGCCCAGTGATCATCCTGCGGGAACTGAATGCTTTTGTGGTCTACCACCACTTCAAGATGGAAGGCATCCATCTTCTACGGGACCTTCTCCGGCCAGGAGACTGGTTCACAAGGCTGGACCTGAAGGACGTTTACCTCTTCTTCCCGGTGGACAACGAATGTCGCAGATTCCTCCATTTCCTCTGGAAGGGCAGGCCATGCCAATTCCCTTGTCTCCCCTTCTGCCTCAGCTCGGCTCCGTGGTGTTTAACCAAGCTCCTGAAGCCGGTGGTCGCTCGGCTCAGATCAGAGGGAATCCGTTGTATCGTATACCTAGACGATTTGCTGATCTTCTGTGAGGACCCCTCCAGACTCAAGTGTCAGACGCGCTGTGCGGTCTCCTTATTCGAACGCCTGGGGTTCGTAGTCAATTTGGAGAAATCAGCCCTCAACCCTTCCCAGACAGTGGAGTTCTTGGGTTTCGAAGTGGATGCGAAAGACTGTGTCCTTTGTCTGCCTCTGGCCAATATAGCGACCATTCGGAAGGAGATAAGGAAGCTCCTGCAGCAAGACCGGATCCCTCTACGAATGTTAGCTCGCGTGCTGGGTTTCCTCTCGGCCTCAATACAGGCAATCTACCCAGGTCCGCTTCACTACAGGGCTATGCAACGACTGAAGGCTCGTTTTTTAAGCAAGAGACCCTCCTACAACCAGATGATCCCTCTGTCCCCGGACGTGAAGACCGAACTGCGCTGGTGGCTCCTGCACATGTCAGCCTGGAATGGCAAAGCAATATTTGGACCGACACCAGACTTTGTGCTGGAATCGGAGGTGAGTCTTTGCTGCTGGGGTGCCACCTGCGCGACCGGGTCCATGGGGGGTCCGCGGTCTGAAAGGGGGTCGGAGTTCCACATCAATTGCTTGGAACGGATTGTGGGTTCGTTTGAGATTCAGAGCCTGGAGAACCACCTTTCGGACTGCTGCGTCCTCCTCCGGATTGACAACGTCTCGGCGCTACAGTATATAAACCGCTTGGGGGCGCTCGGTTGAACACTGTCAGAGGTGACAAAGGAGATCTACAGTTTCTGCTTCGAACGCAACATCACTCTACAAGCGAAATATCTTCCGGGGTAGTCGAACCTGATGGCGGATTGGTTCTCCAGACATTGGAGGGACACCAGCGACTGGAAACTCCTTCGGACCATCTTCCTTGAACTTGCGATTTAGAGGGGCTCGTTCACGCTGGATCTATTCGCCTCCAGGATGAACTATCAGATCCAGACTTACTTCAGCTGGCTCCCGGACCCAGCGTGCTCGGCAGTAGACGCCTTTCTCCAAGTGTGGCCTTCACAGGGAGCGTATGCTTTTCCTCCATTTGCTATGATGGTATTGCTGCAAGTTCGATGTCAGCGTTTGTCTTTGGTGTTGCTGACTCCTCTATGGCAGAGTCAAGCCTGGGATCCTCTACTCTTGCGGTCCCCTCAGATGCTCGTCTCAGACCCAAGGGGCAATCCGCACCCCCTAGTGAGGTGCGGTTGGTGACCTGGACTCTTTGAGGGGTACCTGGAATGTCGAGGTGTTATCACAATCGGCTAAAGACCTTCTCTGGGATTCCTGGGCCCCCAGGACGAGAAAATGCTATCTCTCAGGATGGGTTCCTGGTGTCGTTGGTGCCTGGAACGGGATACTGATCCCTTTACAGGCCCTGTAACTAGTGTGTTGAATTTTTTGTCTCACCTGTTTGACCTGGGACGATCGTATCGTTCAGTTAATGTGGCGAGATTGGCAATCTCGGCGGCGCATGTCCCGCTTGGAGGTCTTCCCATCGGCCAGGACCCGCTAGTCTGCAGACTTCTTCGTGGAATGAGGCTAGCACGACCACCGGTGCCCAAGTATTCCTCCCTCTCAGATGTACGCGCAGTTTTATCGTTCCTACAGGATTGGCCTGATAATCAGGACCTTTCTGATTTCTGATGTCCGAGCCTTCGATGTCAACTCTTTTTCCCTTTCTCCAGAGGGGGTCAATTTCAGGGTTGTTAGACGTACCAAGTCGGATTCGACAGCTGTGTTTTACCCTTATTTCTGTGATTCGCCAAAACTCTGTGTAGCGAAGGCTCTGGCTCGTTATGTGGCAATTACCGCTCCGTTTCGTTCTTCTCATTCCGGCCAGTTGTTGATTTTGTATGTCAGACCCCACAAACCGGTCTCGTCTCCTACCCTGGCTCGGTGAATGGTTATTGACGTTGGCGGGGGTGAATTCGACCATCGGAGCGCATTCAGTTAGAGGCGCCGCAGCTTCTGGAGCTTTCATGGCGGGCGCTTCCCTTCAGGACATCATGTGTTCAGCGGACTGGTCACAAGAGGATACATTTTGCCAATTCTATTTTAGACCGGATCATGCTTCTTTTGCTTTGCTGTCGGAGCGTTAAAACAGCAAATATGAAGCCTCCTGTCATGTTATAAAATTGTAGATTAAACTTCCTTTAGTATAACTATAATCTTAATTTTATTAATGACAGGAGGCGAATATTTCCCTCCCAGTTTCTCCCTCCCCTTGTTTGTTTGTTTGTTAGTTTTGACTGATCTACTGTTTATTCACCTGGTCTCCAGGGCTAGGTTTGTTAGGTCTGGTAATGTTCCTATGGGAGTTGGGTGTTTATCTGGGATATTGTACTATCAGTATTTGATGATGGGGATTCATGTTTTCTCAGTATATTTCATTCACTAATCGGTGTTTTCGACTCTGTTTATCTCGTTTCAGTTTAATGGTTCGACTACAGTTATTAGATCCGAGTTTTCTTCAGGATAAAAGGTCAAGATTTCATCCACTGGTTCCACGTTTTCATTTTCGGATGGCATTCTTTGTAATGTTATATTGGTTTCTTCTGTTATTTTTATTGGTGGTGTATTGTTCATGTACTTATTTTGTCGCAGCGTGAAAGAGGAAATAGTTGGTTGGGAGGAGCCTTTTATGGATTCCTTAATTTTTTGTGATTGGTGTTTTTCTCTCTATGTTAATGTGCTGCTGTGGAGTTCTAGTAAAGAGAGACTTAAGCAAATGTTTGCCTCCTGTCATTAATACAATTAAGATTATAGTTACACTAAAGCTAGTATAATCTACAATTGTATTGCCACCTAATGATAATGAGGACCATAATAATATAGTGGTAAAATCAACTCTACTGCAGTTGCCCGGGTTCATGTATAAGATGTGTAGATAAAGCAGTAAGCTTTCCTGGAAGGCTAAAGAAAAACAGCACCAATGTGATTTGATTTGAAGGAATGTGGCCACCAGTAATGTATAGACAAGGCACAACTAATGCATATATGTTGAACAGACATCACTCAGTCAACCTAAGTGTCAGTGAAACTATGAATGTGAGCCCTTGCCGCTACAACGAAAAATTCAGAACGGTCTGTGGACAAGCTAGTACTATTTTTAGCTAGAAGAAGGTTGCTATATAATATAGTCCTTTAAATTAGCGGTGTTGAAGAGTCCCGGGCTTTGTATTGTCAATAAATATGATGATCATTATCTCAGTTTCACTATAAGAGAAATAATCATTTGGAGCCATCTCTATTACTTTGTGATATGGTCTAAAAGTAGTAATACTAAACAGGAGGGTAATATGTTCTGGACAAGTTGTTTATTTTTATAGTATTTTCAGGTTTTGCAACTGCACTATTTTTGTCTCCCTGCACATATCTGTCTCACTGCAGAGGGAGCAGTAAGGGAGAATGGGGTGTAATGAGGCAACAGTGGACAGGGAATGAACCCAAATACATAGATAAAAAAGGTACATGTATCCCTAAGCACATTTAAATAGAAGTTTATTTAAATGACCATTAATCTATACTCTCACGTGCTGCATTAAGGCAAGGTGAGCTCCGCACTAACAATTCACTAGACTTACACTGATCAGCCACAGCATTACAAACACTGAAAGGAGAAGTCAGTAACATTGATATCATCATTACAATGGCATCTGTCAATGGCATCTGGTGGGATATATTCAGCATCAAGTGAACAGTCTGTTTTTGAATTTCATGTGTTGAATACAGAACAAATAGATAAGTAAAAATATCTTGATTTTGACATGGGCCAAACAGTGATGACTAGTCAACTGGGTCAGAGCATCTCCAACACGGCAAGCCTTATGGGGTGTTCTCGGTATTCAGTGGTTAGTATCTACCAGAAGAGACGGCAGCAGTGTGCTCTATGATGACAAGCCCATAAGGCTTGCCGTGTTGGAGATGCTCTGACCCAGTTGACTAGTCATCACTGTTTGGCCCATGTCAAAATCAAGATATTTTTACTTATCTATTTGTTCTGTATTCAACACATGAAATTCAAAAACAGACTGTTCACTTGATGCTGAATATATCCCACCAGATGCCAGTGTGACGCTCAAGGCAATATTCTGCTGGCATTCATATCGCCTACCGAGAGCTTATTGCTGACCACGTACACTCCTTCAAGGCACTGGTGTTCCCTGATGGCAGCGGCCTCTTTTAGCAGGATAATGCACCTTGCCACACTGCAGAAATTGTTCAGTAACATGAAAAAAGTTCAAGGTGTTGCCTTGGTTTATAAATTCCCCAGATCTCAATCCAACTGAGCAATCTTGGGAAGTGCTGGAACAAGTATTCCAATCCATGGAGGCCCCACCTCGCAACTTGCAGGACTTAAAAGGATCTGTTGCTCATTTCTTGATACCAGATACCACGGGATATGTTCAGAGTCCATGCCTCGACGTATCAAAACTGTTTAGACGGTTTTACAAATAAATTTTATAAATCTATGAAAGAAAACTTAGCAAATACCCTGAGGGATATATTTAACGAGTTTATGTTAAAAGGTAATATCCCGCCGGAGATGCTGAGAGCTAACTTGGTCCCTATTCTTAAACCACAAAAGTCCTCAGAGTTAATAACCAATTATAGACCTATCTCGTTATTGAATGAGGATTTAAAACTTTACTCCTCAATAATGGCAAGTAGATTAAATGGAATTATGATGGATATAATCCATAGGGACCAAGTGGGCTTTATTTCCAAACGCTCTTCGGTATATAATGTCAGACGTCTCATAGACGTAGTGGATTGGGCCCAATCGAGGAAATACTCCCTCCTGATCCTGTCTTTAGATGCAGAGAAAGCATTCGACAGGGTCAGGTGGGACTTCCTCGATGCGGTCCTACAAACCTTTGGCTTTTTTGGGAATATAAGAAAAGCAATACTGGCCTTATATTCAACTCCTTCTGCAAGAGTTGTGGGAGCGGGATTCAGCTCAGATTTTTTCTCGTTGAAAAACGGGACGAGACAGGGCTGCCCGCTCTCACCTCTTCTCTACTTATTGACAATAGAAGTTCTAGCGGTAGCAATAAGGAAAAACGAGGTAATAAAGGGCCTTAATTTCAAAAATGATTGCATTAAATTAACAATGTATGCTGACGATATTGTATTAACCCTAGCAGATCCTTTAAACTCCTCTATAGCTTTCTTTAATACCTTAGATGAATACGCTTTACACTCAGGCTATAAAATTAATGTCAATAAGTCGACTGCATTACTAATGAATACCCCTCAGAATACAAGGGCAATACTTAAGCAGAGATATGAATTTAATTGGGCGGAGGTTTCTTTTAATTATTTGGGAATTGAAATAGCAAATGACGTTAATATTATCATGGAACTCAATTTCCTATCTCTTCTTAGAACTACGGCAAAGAAACTAAAAAATTGGAAAAATTTAGAGATCTCATGGTGGGGCCGTATCAATGTAGTTAAATCTTATATTATCCCAAAATGGGTTTATCTATTTAGAATGGTGGCATTACCGTGCCCGGACAGCTGGTTGACCTTAGCTCAATCCCTATTGAATAAATTTATATGGTTACATAAGCCTCCAAGAATATCCCAAAAACGCTTAGCCTTAAAAGTGAAAAAGGGGGGCCTGGGGGTCCCTATTCTAAAAGACTTCCAAAATGCTGCGACCTTTACACACGCAATTATTACTCAACTAAATGATAGTAAGAATGAGATATGGTACAAGATAGAACAAGACCTTACTTCAACTGAGGGTCCACCGTTGGAGCTGTCTGTGCTCTTTTGGCCCCTAAAATTACAAACCGATCATAAAGTAAACCCCATTTCATCAAGTGTTATTCTGAACAATGTTCTAAGGGGGTGGAAAAAAACTAAAAATTCACTAGGTCTTTATAATAAGTTAATCCCTTCCCTTTCTTTAAGAAATATGGCTTACTATATGACTAATTTTAACGTAAAAAGTTGGATTGAAAAAGGCATATATAAATTTCAAGACTTAATGGATAGAAATGGATGGATGGATTTCCAAACTTTAAAACAAACATATAAAATAGACAATAAGGAGACTTTCAATTACCTTAGACTAAAAGGCTTTTGTCATCAATATGTTATCACAGAAAGGTGTGATCGCTTA